AGAATCAACATCCAGGCAGGAGAGATCAGGACTAGGTATAGTTAAGTCAGCACCCTCTAATTCCTCAAGGGGCACCGGCTCATCGCCGAGCACTACTGTCCTGGATGGAACATGAATCGAAACTGAAGATCTCAACATAAAATCCATTCCCAAGATAACGGGAGAAGAAAGATTATGGACGACAGCAAAGCGGTGATAGAAACGCTGGCCCATGAAACCCAAAGACAACCAAATGGCACCCAGTGGGCAACAGGATGCTCCATCCGCAAGCTGTACTGGAGGTGCAGACCATGGTTTCAATCGTACGTCCCCCCCAGGAATAGTCTGGACAATTGCTGATCGCACCGCAGAGAGAGAAGCACCAGTGTCAAGAGTTGCATCAAAAACTTGTCCATAAAGATTAACCTTCACTCTGAACGGGGTATTCCAATGGGATGTGGACACAGTATCCTCCACGTGACACAGCTCAGGTTGATCACTCATGGAATCATCAGGTAAGCGAGGCACAACTATCTTCTGGAGGGAGGATTGCCCCGTCTGAACGTCCTCCCTCCCCTGAAGTTTCCCCTCTGGGCAAAGTCTGAGACGACATTTCCTTCACCAGTGGCTTGGTCAGAGCCATGCATCCGTTCCACTTCTGACACTATATTCACTGTATCTCTTGGGAGTTCAGGGGGCTCCATTGGAGACAAACGTGGCTTTCCTCCTGGACTACAATTTGGGCATGTACGAGTGGTGAATCCTGGCAAAGAGCACTTAAAACAGTGAACATCCCTTGAGGGCGTACTGCTAGCTTGTCTCAGAGGAGGACACCCAACACTTGGGCCAAGGACTGCATGAAGCTCATGAGCCCGCAAAAGAAGGTCCATTACTGATGGTATGGGTGTGCCATAAAGAGCGACTCTATATTTCTCAAGCACATGTTTCCGTATCAAGTCTATTTGCTCCAGTTGAGGCGGAGGGGACTTTAGCTTACGAAACTCACCCAACATGTGAGCGACAAAAGTCGGCAGTGGCTCATTAGGCATCTGCATACGGTCCAAAATGCCCCTCAGGATACGTTCTTGATTGTCCGAAGGCAGAAAGACTGTCCTAAAGAACTCACAGAACTGATTCCAAGTGGTTAAATGTGTGCTAAGTGCTGCAAACCATTTTCTTGGCTCTTTTGACAGAAAACGTGGGAGCTCAAGGAGAATT